CGTTGAATTTTATTAAACTAGATACACTCGGATGGGAGTAGAGAGAGAGAGAGAGAGGTCATAACATTATATGGCTGTCATACGTCAATAAATATTCATGAGGTTCTGAAATAAAGTCCGGCCATCACGCGTTCATCAAGATAAATGGAAGTATCGGCAGTAAATCGTACGTGTCGCGAAGAAAGCCCGCGTCCTTTGTCCGCGACCTGAAAACTCTCGAACGAGATTCCGTGTTATTCCATGAATACTGATCGTTCCGAGCATCCGAGAAACTTGACCGGGTCGACGAAATTTTCATCGTTCTTAATTTATTTTGCCTCCCTTCCCTCTCCCCGTAGAGAGAGAGAGAACTCCAACCACGACCAAGAAGAAGGGATGAGGCGATAGTTAGCCTCGTAATACGTGTTAGCGCCACATTGCCAGAAAATTCGAAACTGGATTCTGGTAGGGTAAAGCGTAAAGCGAGAGGCGGAAGAAAGATCGTGGAAAGAGAAGAAAAGCCAGAGAGAGAGAGAGAGAGAGAGAGAGAGAGAGAGATTGCAGGAACGAGCGGAAAAGCTCGTTATAAACTCTCGCAGGTTGGTCGTTGCTACAGAATTAATTAAAGCGGAAGCGTGGCAAAGCACATATAAAATATCAAGAAGTGTCGACGACGGGGAAGGATTTTGTTATTTTGTTATTCCATTGATCATGCTCGATGCGCTTAAATTCCATACCTCGTTTGCCGATAATCCGCTATCCTTCTTGCGTAAAGAGTCGTAATTGAACCTAGCAAAATTGAAAATTAATTATTTGCTTTCCGAGAAGGTGAGTGAGACGCGTAACGTAACGCTTTGACGTTATATGAAAATCGGGAATTTTCATAAAAGCGACGTTGATCGAGCCTTGGGCTTTCGAGCAGCCCAATTAAAGGTTAGATCAACATGCAAATTGCGATGCAGTTGCTTTGATACGGTGAAGGGGAAGGGAGTACAAAAGTCGCGGCGTTAAGGAAGAACAAGGCGAGCAAGGGTCTTGGTTTCTCCTGCTCGATTGAAAAAGTTACTTTACTCCAAGGGGAATGCACGTCGAGGAATTAGCATAGTTGGAACGGTGGGTGGACTCGTGGCTCCTGTTTTATTCATGTATATTAATAAGTAAGCTTATCGCATACGCGTCGGACCACTGTATCGGACCGACGACGATTTCTTTCTTTTCTCCTTGATGGATTGCGAGAAAAACAACGATACAACCCCTTCCTGGTGGGTGGGGGGAGGAGAGACGTTTCTCTGCCAACTCATTCCACGTCTAATTCACTCTTAAGCCGAAACGTAACGAGCTCTGATCTAATCTAATTCCATCTAATCTCTTCTTCCCCGGCTATACTACCCCAGCCTGGCCTACCCCAGCCTATTATGTTTCTCCGAGCTATAGAAATCTTCTATACCCTTTTTTCCCTATTGAACCTTGTGCACCCTGTTCTTAAAGCTTTCCCTTCTCCCGGACAACTTATTTAACGACTTGCACAAAAGTTATCCCCCTTCTGTTATCTCTTTCCAAATATTTTCTCTTTCTCGAGGGTAATAACTGGATAAATAACGGATAACACGTATACGTAATAGTAATTCACAAACATTCGCATTTATTGTGTTGTTGAGAATAGGAGAAAAGAGGAAATTCTTGTTTTTTTTTTTTTTAAATTAGGTTGAACCGAGACGATAAGTTCGTCCGCATCTTCGTCATTCCTCTTTCATTCGTATCCAATTCCGGTCGATTTTCTTTTAACTTTCGAGACACGACGATATTTCAGCTAAAAATTACGAACTTTTAAGGATGCACGCGCGCGCCAATTCGAGGTAACGATTACCATGCGAATGGAACGTGAAATAAAGGAACATTAATATTCGATGTATGCGATAATAAAAGAGTTACGATTCACCACCGATGTTTGAATTTTTGGGGGGGAGGAAAATTGAGGACGCGGTAACTCGCGTTTTCATAAACATCCTCGGCCAACGGTATTGAAAGAACAAGCAAATTTATACGCGAGTCGAATACGAAATCTGATTTCCGACTACCGCGCAATAACGTGACAATTTAACCCGTCACTCCCCCCTCCCCCTCTTCCCATCCCGTAAAACTAAACGGAAATACACGTACGTACGTTCGTTCGTTCGTTCGTTCGATGCCCGAATTTAAAATCAATTATTCGTGGAAACTCGTGGACGAATTTTCACGTGCGCCAAGGGCAAAAATTATTTTTCGACGCATTCCATTTATTTCACGGCCCCTATTATGAAAAAACATCCATTCGTTCAATTTCGAACGCGTATTTGAATCGCTTTGAGAACGAAAGGAAAGAAGATAAAGAGAAAAGGAAAAAAAAAAAAGGAAAGAAAAGAAAATCGTGCACGCTGTCGCGTATATATTTCTATTTACGAAAATTGTTTTCCCTTCGATCGAGGAGACGATCGAGGTAACGTTGTTGGTTATTCGACTAACCGATTTTTTCCCCCCTCCCCTCGTTGTTGCAGATACGCTGAGCTTAGGAGATCGACAGACGATGGACAACATGGATCGACACGGCGGTCAGGGTAGACCGCGGAACCAGATGCTCGATCCTCCCAACATGAAACTGAAGGTGGAGCCTACGTTCGACTACTCGCAGAACACGAACGTGACAGCGCTGATAGGGAAGACCGCTTATCTCACGTGTAGGGTTCGCAACTTGGGCGACAAAAGCGTAAGATCCTTCATTTCCTTCATCGTTCGTCGTCCCACTTCACGCCACTTTTCCTCTCTCCTTGGACGCAGACCTCCCACACTACTTCCTCGAACATTTGTTTCTATTCGAGACCTGTTTCCGAGTTGGAATACGGATATTGCTCCGGGATAACGCGGAAAATTGTTCGAGACAGGTTAATGTCCCAGAAAAATGGTTACCTACCTCTATATATATATATATACTAGACTTCTCTCCATCCAGTTGCTCCATGGGGTTTCGACAAATTTGTGGCAGGAAGGTAATCACGACAAAGGCCTGGTACACCGTTGACTGAACAAGAGAGCCCGATCTTCGCAAAGACGTTAGGAAAGCGATTTGCAGGAAATAATCGAGTTGCTCGAGCTCGATTGGACGTTAATCGACCTTCGAGGCAACTGAAAACTCAATTTTATAGCAGCTCGCGGTCCCGATGTTAGGTTATAGGTATATATTCCGAGGTAGCGGGTGGGATAGTACTCGAGTAGTATCTTGACGGAGTTATAAGCGATCGTGGTTCCGGCATATCTTGACTTGATCCGGCCATCTTCTCTTTCGCCAACGATTTTCTCTCGGCCGCAACACACGTAATGTGTTAAGAGGATTCGGGACGTGGTTCGTTAGTATCTTAGCTTCTTACGTCGAGATTTCGTATTTTGGTAGAGCATACGGTGCCAAGCGTGATGATATTTTGAGATCGTCAGAAGAAATACGAGATGGACGACGAAATAGAAGACCGAATAATTTAAATATCATCGATTTTAGAATCGAGAATTAGATTAGACAGGTTAAGATTTCCAACAGGTCGAGAAAATCCAGGTAAATCCAGTTGAATCTATTTTTCGGTCAGATTTCGGTCCGCCTCCCTTTGAAATAAAATTAGTACTACTTTATCGTTCTTGAATCTCTTTCCTGCCAAGTTCCGTGTCGGCGAATATCTCTTCTCTAGACGAAAACACGGGTTTGATTAATATCTTGGTGGAAATAAAGTTGGAGCGAAAGAAGGGAGGGGGGGGGGCCGAAACAAAGATCGCGCAACGAGATTGTTGATGCGGATACGGGGATGGAAACAAGGCCGTTCAATTTCAGTATTTCCCAGTGTGTAAACCGTATTAAGTAAATTCATTATACGGTGGAGGGCCGACGTACCTTAATTTCATTCGTTGTTCCGCGTCACCCGTGAAATTCCATTTGCTCCACGTCCGAATTGCTAGGTCATACGGATTTCCTCGATACGTGATTCTCGCCGCTTTCCACTCTATCCGGGCGGACTTGGCTTCTTTCGTCAGCGTAATATTCATCAGCGAAACGAAACCCTGTCTCTCGTATTCATAGAAAGATCAAAAGATCGATAAACTATATCCGCGCAAATACGATTACTTGAGAGTAACTCTTTTCTTTAAGAAACGTATAATTTTTCCAGAAAAATTACTTTCCGCGCGATTCTTCGCGTGCAAATTCGAAGAGAAAAAGAAAAGAAAAAGGAAATTAAGAATTGATTTACGATACAATCGAGCTCGAGGAACGAATTTTCAACGCTTGGTGTAACAACTTGGAATTTTAGCCTCAAAGGTATTCGCACGTTCCCAGACGAGCAAACAAGGACTCATTTGCAGTTACGTTGCTCGCAAACGTTGCTCAACGTTCGACATTCATCGTTTCGCGGAAGCTCGGTCGACTCCCTCGGCGAACCGTTGCCTCGTTTCGATTGCCAACCTCCCCGAGAACGAACTCGTCGCGCAGGGCGGAGACGTAAACTTCTTCGAGTAAATACGCTAAGTAGCGCCAACACTCGAGCCGCTCGAGCAGCTTCGCCTGGATTCGAAGTTGGAGGAAACAGCTGCCTTTTCCGGTTTACATCGGGAGATGAATTGCGGAGGATATATCGGAGAGAAGATTCACAAGCTTTTGGCGAGCTTTCTCGCGCAAATGACCCAACCCTTTTGTGCACCAACTTCCAACCACCGATTATTAATGTCTTGTTGCGACACCTATTGTACACCCGTTTTGTCGGGAGTCAAGCGCGGGTCGACGAACCAATAAAACTCGTTGTTTATGCCCGCGCGTGATACCACCACCTTTTACGACTCCAATTTTATCGCGGACATATACTTTTCAGAAACTACAAGCGTCCCGATAAGGCCACCTATTCTTTTCTTCTTCTCTTTCTTTCTTTTCCTCCTTTTTTCCCGCAAAATTAACCCTTCGCGAACTCGATTGGCCGAGAAATATATTATGCAAATTACCAACACTCTTTGCGTAGCTGTGGAAAGAAGCAAGTCCGATAACGTTAACGCGATGAGCTACGACTCGTACACATTTTTTTCCCCCCTTGTCACGATATATATACATATATATTACGTTTTTATATCAAATCTTTTTTTATCGAAATAACTTATCCGTTAATAAAATTTTCGTGATACAATACTTATATTATTTATAAGAAGGAATTATTCACCACCTCCTCGTTCGGGATGCAATTTAATAAAAGAATTTCGAAATCGAGGCCGACGATAGAAAAATAAATTTTATTAATGTTCGATCGAACGCGAAAATCGAAGCAACGGCTGAGAGCAACCGATTTTCGTCGACCGATTCAGATTGGCCAGCCCAGAGCCGGATCAGAGCCCCGGTCATCCGATTACCCTTCCCCTCTTCGCGCTCCTAATAGCCCTCTCGACGGGAAACTTCATTTTTCGCGCCAATAGGCTACAAAATAATTTCTCCCTCCGATTACGATTTATCTAAACGAGCTGTCTCTCTCTCTCTCTCTCTCTCTCTCTCTCT